CCCGCGCCCCCGCCACCGCACTTCCTGGCCGGAGATCAGACAAGGAGCTACAAAAGTGGGCGAGGAAAGGAGAGTCCTCCGCGGGGAGGGTGCAATTATTTCGATGTTTAAAAGCTAAATAAGCGATAAAATGTCGTATTTAATCGACGAATAAAAAGCGGAAGACAATTGGGGCCGCTTACCATGGTGGTGCTCGGTCGAGAAAGCCCAGGCGATGTGAGGAAGACCGTTGACGGAGGGTTCGAATCGCTGCCAAACTGTGTCCACTAAGCGGGGGAAGAGCCGATCACGTCTCGGCCTTTTTACAACACCCAGCTTCGTGGACTCTCTTTCCACCTGAGCTCTCTTCCGTCGAAAGCAATGGAGCACAGAGGGAAGGAGGGACGCTTGGGGTAGGAGGCAAATTGTGACGACTACGATGACACACTGGTTACACGCCCACCATTTATAAAGGAAATGTCTTGTGGCTCAGTTGGAAAAACTGTGTTCTCTTGGATTTTAAACGCAGTATTCAACAAAAGATATCGGCGATAAAACCCATACTTCTAATTTTTTCAATTGAAGCGCTGGCGATGCTGACCATTTTCCTCCGTAAGTCCCTCTTGATTATAAATCAATTTATGCAATAAATCATGGGAAAATGGATGCCTTTGCATGTGCCGTAAAAACTCAAAAAGCTGTCTCGGTCACTAACTATTTTTGGTCATCATGTTTGTACATTAATAGTGTTTGAAACGCGCCCCTTCTTGTTTTACTCTATGTTGTTACATATAGTACTGTAGAGGCGTCGATGACTACAGCTAGCTTTTTTCGTCTAGTGCAGTGGATCTTAACCTTGTTTAGAGGCACCGAACCCAACCAGTTCATATGCAGATTCACCGAACCCTGTGTGAAAAATAAAAGGAGTCGCTCTACTTGACATGACAGATCATGCAAATAGGATGTCGAGTCCCATCACGTTCCGTGTTGCATGTGAATCCATGTTATACATATTCGTCTGACCACTTCTTTTTTTTTTCTCGACATAGCCTGTGTTAAAACAAAAACAAAAAATCACTATTATTACGTCAGCCGCACGCTGATTAGTGAGCCTACACTTCCCCCAGCAGTGATTGGACAATCAATGGTTTTGGTGATCATCTGCATCGTAGAAAGGGTTCCGTCAGTCGTCATCTGTGCCTGACAGACAAATGATTCAGAAAGTGTGCCTAGGCCCACACGTTGACTGCAGGGCAGCACTGATTGGACAAGCAATGCCTTCTGATCATCTTCAGCCAATGATGGCCAAGCGGGTGTGTGCCACAACCTCCACGGCGGTAATGTTCGAGTCAAGTGTTTTTTTTTTTTTATTATTTTTTTGAGTCAGGTGATGACTGCACACTTTACGTTCGTTCTGACGTCACGTCTTTCGACGCTAGTGTGCGCTTCCGGCTCGTATGCTAACGATTCTCGTATGGCTAGTATACCAACGAAGTATTCTAACGTGCGAATGTGAAGTGCTGATATTATTCAGTTTTTCGATTACTGAATACTGTATAGTGAAATGTAAACTCTAAGTGTACTGTGAACTAATGAACGTACAGTGGGGAGAACAAGTATTTGATACACTGCTGACTTTGTTAAGCTTCCCCCACTTACAAAGCAGGTCGAGGTCTGTACAGTATACGTATACTTGTTCTCCCCACTTTATACTACATGGTGTTGCTAATTTTTATCTGTGTTGCTGCAGACCACAATAAACAAACTTGTCAAATGGAATGCACGCCTGTGTTCTCCAACCGGAAGACCAACTTCCGTAACTTTCCCTTTAAATAGAATCAACTGGAGAGATCACACTCCTTGTATGCACCTCTTTGCTTCAACCCTTTTCGGGTCAGCGGTTACTACAGCGAAAATCTTATCAGGGTACAGGTTGTCATTGTTGGTGCATGAAAGAGTTAAATATATACATATGCATTGCCTTGCCGAAGTATTGGTCGCCCCAACCATTGAAGTTTGGCCTTATTTCAAACAAGCATATTAGTTTTTTTTTCTTGTGAAGAACCGACACCAAGCTGAACACAATTGTTGGCCTTTCCACATGTGGGTGCTATTAGGATGATGATGATAATCATCATCATCATTGTTATTATTAGATTTATTTAATAAAATATTGACCAACCTAAACTGGTGAAAATGGCTCGCTCCCTTTTAAAGATGCACTGTCAATGATTGAACAAACATGCCGTTTTGGTGGTCTCCTGAAAAGTGAAGATTTTGGAGGTGCAAGGATTCCACCTGATGGCAGCGGTATGTAAATCTTTGATGGAGATGGGCACCATATAAAATCTCGCTCAGGGCACCACATTGGCTAGGCCCTGGAAGGGAAGTGAAGGACAGAAATTTTGAATGGATTTGACAGCAAAATATTCGTAAATTTGAAGAAAGGGAGCCTGCTCTGCCTCTTAGCTCACTCACACCATCCAAGTAGAGAGTGAATTTCCAAATGCTCCCCTACTGAGTTGTAAGAGATCCCATCTTAAGACAGACATGATTAACAACATGATTTTGAAAAGAAAAAAAAAAAAATAGAATCACATCGGAATGCAAATCAATTTATGTAGTGGTCCACTGTAGTTCCATATTCCTTGTTTTCCTAACGTTTAAGCTTATGGTAATTTGGGCTTCCAGAGTCTAATTGTTCCATTCTCTTGCCTGCCAGTTCTTCTTCTGGTGGGATTGACCGATGGGCAGCCGACCAATGCCACCTGTGCTGTCACACACGACTCCGAGGGATGGCGCTACAAAATTGTCGGAGAGAACAAGCCACCTTGCCCTCGTTATGACTGGACCAGAGGGACGGTGAGTGCGTGAGTGCGTGTGTGTGTGTGTGCGCGTGTGTGATCACACCTTTACCCCCATGTGAGAACAACAGTGCACTGAGGGAGGGATTTCATTCAAATGATTCTTTGAAAGGGAGAAAGTGTGTGTGTGTGTGTGTGTGTGTGTGTCTGTCTCTCGCTATCCACTTCACCTTCTGTCACTGCGCCAATACTGCCCTAACGACAAATATGAATCACTTCCGTCTGCCACGTTTGGATCGTGTACCAAGTACTGGTCATGCTTCTGTTTTTGTTGAGATTACATTTGGTTTTGTTTCACAGATTGTTTTTTTTTTTGTTTTTTTTTTCCCCCATGTACTGTTGCCTTCCTGGTTTAGTTTTCTTTCGACCCGTTCTTGTCACTCGGGTCCCTTGTGTCAAACAATAAGCTCCCTCAACCCTTTTGTGTCTTGTCTAGGTGTTTCTTGTTGTCTCGTCAGTCTGCTTGTATTTATTTTCTTTTTTTATCATACATTTGATTCAGTACACCCTGCTTCTCCTGCTTCCCTGCTTTTTGGGTCCACTCCCATCACGCAACATGACACTATCCTGTTCATATTTTGCCCCCCGCCGCCTCTACATTTATAGCCAGATTGCAATCCAACGAGAGAAAGTGCAAAGGCAGGTTGTTAATGATCGCGCATCCTTGCTTTTCAGATGAAACACGTCTTGGCCAACTACAAGGAGGCTGCAAGCAAAAATGAGGTCCAGCAGTGGAGCGACACACACCTTCATCTCAGGGTTTGCATGGAGGACATCCAGCGCAACAGAGACTGCCCCAAAGAGGTGGGAAAACAGTTCCACCAGCGACACGGTCTCCACGTTTTGTTGCTAAATGCTACTTCTGTTGTTCTTTCTCCTCAGGACTCTGTGCAAGTTATCAAGTGTCCCTCAGGGTTTGCATGGAGGACATCCAGCGCAACAGAGACTGCCCCAAAGAGGTGGGAAAACAGTTCCACCAGCGACACGGTCTCCACGTTTTGTTGCTAAATGCTACTTCTGTTGTTCTTTCTCAGGACTCTGTGCAAGTCATCAAGTGTCTGGGTAAGCCGACTTTTCATTCTTGTTCAATACCTCCACCTCTTGCAAAATAGTAGGCAGAGGCGCCGATTGAATAAAAGCACAACAGCGCTGCGTGACCACCTGAACATCATGAGGTAGACGGTAGCTCCCCAGAAACCGAAATACACAACCAACCAACCAACTGTCGATCAGGGTGGCCCAAAAAAAAAAAAAAACAACAACACCTGTGGATTGAAGTCCACTGAGTGTCACAGATAAATTCAGTGCTTCTCCGGCTACACAAATACTGCAGAGCAAATCACCTGTAGCTGGAATAAGCGTAACAAACAGCTTTTGGTGTAGAGCCACCGTTTGAGGAATTAGGGTATTGGATGAGCACATGGTCTGACATCTGTTTTTCATTTGCTATTCACAGTCAACTGCACTGAAATCTTCTCAATTCATTCTACGACAGGTAAGTCGACATCAGTCTTTCAAAAATGGCTGTTTTTGTAAACAAAGCTTACTTTGAGTCTTGAAAAAAAGCCTTTGACCACATTCATATTTAATAATACATTTTGTAATCTAAAAAGACAATTTTGAAGCTCAATAAACCTAACATTTTCTGTTTTTGTTTAAAAAAAAAAGACTTTATAAGAAAGCCAACATATGTGTTTTGTCAAAGTAAATGTTTAGTTTTATGAATAACCTCATGTACGTGTATTTGTCCCCCTGTATTCTCTTGCAAATGTTTAACCATGCGCTCTCCTGACAGGAAGAAGACATGTGGCACTCATCCTCGTAGCGCTGCTCTTTCTGCTGCTTCTGCTTCTTCTTGCTTTTCGGTCCAGATGCTGCACACCCAAAAATCAACAGAAAGGCACTGGTCCAAGTGTTTGGGGTTTGGGTCCCTGTTGTTACACTCCGAGACCAAAGTAGGCTTACCTACGTTGCTGCCATGTCGGCAGGGGAGACATTTCCCCTCCGAATTCTTTGTTCTCTCTGAAAGCTGACAAATGGCTTTTGGTTGTGACGTCTTCATGAGCACGGTACTGTAAGTGTACTGTACTGTACTGTATGTTTTGTACTGCCCCCAGGCGGCCAAGTCGTGAACAGCAGAAGAAAAGATAAGATAAGGAAACCTTTATTTGTCTCACAATGGAGAAATTCCCATTTGACAGCAGTAAAATTATGAAAGGGAGAAGTAGAAGAACAAAAAGGATGTAAATTATAATGATCAATTATAAAATATAAATGTAAGCGTATTGAAAATGGGTGAGTGGGGGTGAGTCCAGGTTTTCAGATCTGTCTATTCCCGGCGTGGCCAACCAGTCAGAGACGAAGAGCCAATTTATTTTTACTGTGTTACTGCAAAGAGCCATATCATATCCTTCGTGCTCACACACACACACACTTTTTTTGGCCAAAGATAGACTTTTGAAGCGACCAACTTCCCGCGAATGACACGATCGCGCACGTGCAAGCATATACACACACACGCGCGCACGCATTCACGCGGGTGTCCGCCAGTGCACTCGCGCACATATGCACGCACACCACGATGACCAACAGTCGGAACGGGCTGAAAATGAACGAAATCTATCGATACAAACAAACAAACCTTTTTTTTTCCCCACCCATTTCCTCCTCCCACCACTTGCGGTCGATCAGTTCGCTGGCTCCCGGTCGATTCTGATCAACGTATTGGGCAAACCCGCCTTTACACATTCAAGTAACAGGATTGATGATAGGCTGACGTAGTAAGTTCTGTGTATTTATCGCCTTGTTTGAATGGCATCGCCACCGCACCTGTCTTGTGAAAGCCCGGGAGCCGTATTGAACCAGTCAATGAGCCGCATGCGGCTCGCGAGCCGCGGGTTGGCCACCCCTGGTCTATTCAATAGCAATCAAAGGGGTCCATACAAGCACGATGATTATGATGAACAAATTTTATACTGTAATATTGATACCAAGTCAGCTGCCGAACAATTTGTAACACCAGTTGTTTATTTTTTTCCCCCACAAAGAGAAAAGAAGCAAATTGAAGTGTTTGAAAAAAAATTGGTTTCTTAAGTTTCATTTCAGTATATGCTTGATTGACCTCGAACGTTATGTTCTCACAACTTGTACACAATGGAGCCATCAGAAAAAAGGGCCAACTTGAGCTGAATAAAGCCAAGTCCTCATTAACTGATAATGTCGGCAGGAAGGTTCAACTTCGGGAGGGCAGCATGATAAGATGTCTTCAGTTTGCAAAATCTACCCATTGAAGTAACAACGTATCCATTGTTTGTACCCAGCGATGTTTTGGCATATGCTCCTTTTGATTTCTTTACATTTTTGCTGCCAGGTCAAGTGATTCATGCCACAGCTGTGCTCCAAATTCCGCCTGGCATTTGCAACATGCCCTGATTGTGACCTACTTTTAGACAAACTGGCACATGAGCAATTTAAATATATGTGCTTTATCCTTATGGAGGCAATAGGCATAATCATTAATTAATACAACACAACATTCATCGTTTTTTTCTGATATATCACTTGTAATTTGCATACGCAATCAAAAAAAAGGACGGCAGAGGTTGCAGGGGTCAGGGGGTCAGCGCACACGGAGTGGCTTCTTCGAAAACTACGCCTCCTGCCGGCAGAAAAGACAATCGCTTCCACTGTCCGAGTGAACAACTCTTGACAGTGAGGCGTGAAAATCTTGGAAAAAAAACATTTAAGATGCAATGAAGGTTTTAACTTAACTTTTCTATTGTATTAACAGAAAATAACCTCTGTGCTGTCTTCCAGTAAACACTTGGTGCACTTTAAGAACAAATCCAGGCAATAACACTGTATGTGGGGGGAAAAAGTGAATTTTCTTTCCAGCAATAAACTTTGTCTAAACCATGTCGTGGCGTTTAACTGTTTTATTTTTAAAAAAAAAACGTTCTAAATAATTTTGAATTTTAAATTTCACAACGTGGTGCGTGAATCTCCTCCCAACCAGCATTTGCTTGTGCACCTGAAAAGCTGCACTGTGCATACAGGTGGATTAATTCTGTTTTGCGTTTCATCCATTGACATAGTTAAGCTACTCCGTCATGAGGGGAAAGGTTGTCTGTTAAACTGTCACTGGGCCTTGGAAAGCCTCAGTTCAATTTTAAGTGGCTTTAGAGATGAAGCAAAGCTGTGCAGAAAGGCAAACTCCATCCACGCACGCTCCCACACACACATTCAGGTTAATATCGTTTCTTCTGCAGCATCCATTTTCGTTTTTGGTGTTTTTTTTTTTTTTCTTGCACAGTTCAATTCCAAAATCATATACTGTACCACAAAAAATAAAGAATTCCCATTTGAATGCAAAAGATTAGATTGACAAAAACACAACACATATTTAATTTAAAAAGGATGTAAAGACTTCACACACCTTACAATGTATATTTAAAGTGTCACTGAAAGAGGTAGAACAGGTAGAGATAAACAATGCAGAGCATGTCATCAGCAGGTGTCAAATAATGAGACAAAAACTGTCCACAAAGCAAATATACACGATTCAAAGGGGTGCAAAGAACATTTTGTTTCAACACAAACATGTCTTTCACAACCTCACTGTTTCTTTGTTTTTGTTTTTTTACTCAAGCACCATTCATAAAAAATAACGCACACATGGCACACACATTCGCATGCGATAGCCAAACTCACAATGTCACATACATACAATCACATAGCAACATACTGTACTCCAGTTGGTTCGATGAAAAGCATGCGCTGTATGTAAAAATGACTTCCGATTATTTTTAATTTCAACTCCCGTTTTTTTTTTAAATAGAGAAGTAAATAATATATTTTGAAGTTATATACTGATATGAGATCTGTGCTTTCCATTGGAGTGGGACGATAAAACAGTAGTGTTAAAACTGACGCGCACAAACACGCACATCTTAACAAAAATATTTTTGAAAATAATTAGATTCTAAGAAAATCGAGAAAAATAAAGTAGAGCACGGTACATGCTTTGCAATGGACAAAGACAATGTCAAGGTAAAAAAATAAAATAAAATACTGGAAGGTCGATCCAACGTAAAGCATGTATCTCCAAATAATGCGGTTATTCTTTTTAATTAAAAAAAAACCTGCAACATTAGAAAACGATGTATTTTTAACCTACAAAAAATGTCTTGAAACTCAATCAATGGTTAAAACTAACACACATCACACCCACATGGGTTGTCATGTAAACTAGTGTGTCTGCGTACGTGGGTGTGTGTATCTTTCCGTCAAATGAAGGTCTCTTTGTTGACCCACATGAGCGTACGTGTGTCATTGGGTTTGCACTCGTACTCGATGGTGTTGAAGCTGTTGCCCCACTGGCAGTGATCCCGCTTGTTGTAGTTGTAGTATTTCACCTGCCACACCGTCTCAAACGTGCCCGCCTCGCTGAACTGTGGCACACAAACACAAATGCTTGAAATTGCCTTGTTTGTCCTGCAATTGGCTGGCGACCCATCCAGGATGTACCCCGAGCTCTGGTCTGTGCAACTCCAAACTATTGAGACCTCGCAAATGATGCCTACTGCCTCTAAAAGGTTGCTTTTCCTCTGGTGCGGTATTTTATTGTGCATCAAATTAAAAGGACGGGATCTTTTTAATCATGTATGTGGCAGTCGTCAAGATAAAATGAATGAGAAATAAGACACAAAATGATTTCTATTTAACTACACCACTTGCCCTTTCAAGTTAATGTGATGTGTACCTGGATGCTGATCTGAAGGGGCTGCCTCTCGCCGCTCTTTGTGTGCGCCACGCCCTCGGTGTCGTACAAGCCGGTGTAGACCACCGACTGAGGGTCTTTGGACTGCCGCTCCAGGGCGAAGGTGACTCCGCCCAGGCTCATCGACCTGCCGAGCCAAGAAAAAGATAGATTGAACACTGGTTGATGCCATTTGGAGTCTATTTTAGTTTTTTACACAGTACTTAGTGGTTAGCAAGTCTGCCTCACGTTGCAGAGGTCCGGGGTTCGAGTCCAGCCCCAGGCTTCCTGTGTGGAGTTTGCTCTGGGTACTCCGGTTACCTCCCACATTCGAAAAACATGCAGGGTAGGTTGATTGAATACTCTAAATTGTAACTGGGTGTGATTGTGAGCACAAATAGTTTTTTGTCTGTGTCCCCTGCGATTGGTTGACAACCAGTTCACGCTGCTGTCCTCAGATGGCTGGGATAGGCTCCAGCACACCCGCGACCCTCGTGGGGATAAACGCTTCGGATAATGGATGGATGGATGATAAAATGAAAACTTGAAAATGTGCAGTTTAACTCTATTGGCTGACTTCACATTTTAGAGTGACCTTTTAATGTGGGAGTCAAAGGCACACCTTAACATTAACCACAGGGTCTAATCATCATCTTGACATTTTGGATTATCTCAGCAAAGGAGAGGTGCTCATGAACAGATTTAGGCAGGGTTTTGAAAAATATTTGAGAGAAATGTGCAAAGTCTTTGATCCATGAGTTTAGCTCAGGAAAATGTATGTATTTTAAACATTTATAATGACTCTATGTGGCGTTTGACACACAGAACGTTTAGCTCAGAACATGGTAACACTGTTAGCTAGCGCTAATCTGTCCAACCAACGTAGTAGCGCTGTTTACAATTTCATTTTGACAAGATCGTGTTCTGGCTGCCCCGGAACTTCAACTAGCAGCTGATCGTGGTATGCTCCTTTTGATTTCTTTACATTTTTGCTGCCAAGTCAAGTGATTCATGCCACAGCTGTGCCCCAAATTCCGCCTGGCATTTGTAACATGCCCTGATTGTGACCTACTTTTAGACCAACTGGCACATGAGCAATTTAAATATCTGTGCTTTATCCTTATGTAGGCAATAGGCATAATCATTAATTAATACAACACATCATTCATCACATCATCATGAAGACCACCAAAATAAAAACCGTTTAGAGTTCTTAATTTGGTCCTCAATGGTGCCTGGTAAAACCAGACCTTATTTCCGGTTTAAATTAGCAACACTACTTCGTGTGACCGTTTTACTTGATACATTACGCCAATAATCTTTTTATTATTTCCCATATCCCTTACGTCTGTTTTACCGGATAATTGTACTGTATCGCTTCATGCTGAATTGCTGAAATAACTCTTTCCACTGAATGCATCATTCCTTATGGTGGCGTCAAACTGACGCCGGTTCACAAATCAGACGGATTGTGACATGTGCACGCATCACACAGATTTTTGTGCATTTTCACTAAACTATTTAGCATTTTGTAATACAACCGAATTGTCATAGTTTAATCAAGAAAAAATAATGACCCAAAAGTGAATAAATCCTAAAATAAAAACATAAATAGAGGTCTACCTACGTGGCCTCGACCGCTCCGGGTTTAATCACCACCTCGATTTTGTATTTGGAGCCGGTGAGTAGCTTGATGGTTCGAGTTTGTCCGAACCTGGCACCGTCGGATTTGAAGTAGACGGCGGTATTGTTGGGGAGCATCTTCAGCGAAATCCCGATTTTGACGAGCTGCGGAACGTCGGCCATTTCAACACACGGGTCCAAATCCGGGATGGATGGATGTGTGTCAAATCGTGCCAGGTGTCCCTAGAAATGGGTTCACACGCAAAGGGGGAAATGTCGCGCACGCATGTTGGACTGGCGCTCTACTTTAATCCCAATCCACTGGTCAGAAAAGGTCTAATGATAATCCCAAACACTGTTCGCTCGCTCTCTCTCTCTCTCTCTCTCTCTCTCTCTCTCTCTCTCTCTCTCTCTCTCTCTCTCTCACCCCTCCCCAATTGATTCCTGGGGATCCAAACAACAAAATTACGAAAAGCACAAACCAGTCAAAGGACACACATACAAATCCGGTTTGGGCAATCTATCTATCTATCTATCTATCTATCTATCTATCTATCTATCTATCTATCTATCTATCTATCTAAAGGTATCTAAGGTTTTACCCATGTAATATCACTATTAAGACACAAGATGTCAGTGTTGGATCATAAACAGTTGACGTAACTTTATCGTTTCAAAGTACAGTAATAAACTTCCTTTTGCTTTCTCAGTGAAAAATAAACGCACGAAACGTAACTTTAAAGTACCATTACTCGGTTGAGAAGAAATGAAGCGAGAAAAACAATTTGCATCTCGCACAAGACTTAAAAGGGGCAAAAACAAGAGAGAAGTGGGCCCGACAATTTAAATAAATGTATCATTTTGATTTAAAGTCAGTGACGAAAAAAAACTCCACCTCCTTTCAGACACTTTTATTGCGTTCAATGGCCATCAATGGACATGATATGATATCTTCGCTTTTTTGGGGTCAGCAACGGCAATGTCGGAAGTGGATGACTCACCATTTGGGGGACAAATTAAAACAGATAAGGTACAAGAAAAAACGAATCTTTAGTGGTCAACAACCACAACTATTCACTCTACGTAATAATGAACAATTATTCTAACATTATTCAAATATTTGAGGAGGGCGTCAACAGGGCAGATAACTCTATGACGTCAGCACATGGTGGCCAGCCAACCCGGAAGTGGGTGAGTTGGCATTGAAACAGATTTTAAAAAAGAAGACAAAGTAATTTTTATAGCCTAGAAATAAAAAAATAATTAGTTTTCCGACCAACTTTCACTTTAACGAAGCCAGGGAGAGTCTGTAAATTGGTGCATGATTTTTTTAAACGACTCCGTAGTGTACGACGGCCAGTTTAATTAATTTAGTGTAATTCCCGCCAACAAGAACAAGTGTAATATTATCATTTGTTGATACGTTTCGCATTGTAAAATGTTAACATTATATAATGGGACCATTGTAGTATTCTGTCAAATGTCAGTTTTGGTGGAATATGATATTCTCACTTTATTTTATTATTTGTTATTTCAACTTTTCATCACATTTCGGTTGTGGTGAAAGTAGAGACGAGATAGGTCGTCAGTGGTGTGAATCAACGACATACAAGTACTCCGTTATCGTATTTAGAGTTTTCAGGTATTAGTACTTCATTTAAATAGTTTGTTTATGATGATGGTTTACTTTTACTTCTTACATCTCAAAACATGTAGTGTCCATACTTTGCGCTTGTTAGTTTTTCAACTTCCACAGAGGATTGCAATAACCCATTGGGCAAAATTATCTAAATGGATATTGTATCACTTACAGTAAAAAATCTTCTTTACTTATACACCGAAGTACAATTTCTTTTTATAGAGGTAAATTAGTTGGATCACGACTTGATTTATTTTTTAAGAATCTGGACTTCTAGTTAAGATGAGTACTTTTGCCACTTTGGGGGGCTGGTGAGAAAGAAGGCGAGTGGGAGGGAGAGAGCCCCTCAACCGACCCACCCTCCACCCCTTCCCCACAAATGTCTCCATGGATCCACTTCTTCACAACCTCACTCTTCCACCGTCTTGCACACAAGTGTTTGGACCGGACAGCCACGGTACCATAAAAGATGACGAGTGTACATTAGTCCATTTGAAAAAAGTCTCCAAAACCCGGCCACCCCCAAGCAGAGGAGCCACCGTCCGCCTGTGAATGTCCGCCGGTCTCCCACCACCCTCCACGCCCGCGCCGGTGATGCCATGCCGCAGGGTCACGGCGGCGACGAGAGCGGCGGTGGTTGTGGTGCCGGTGTTGTTGGTTCCGGAATCTGGCTCAAGACTTCCCCAGGGCGCCTGGCACGGGATCTCCCCCCGAGGGATGTGGAGTTCGGCCAGAGGACGATGAACCACGCGGTTCGGACTGGAGCCGTGGACGGGCTGGGGCCGCCCGGAGCCGCCGACCGAAGGAAGCAGGGCGCCCGGCTCAGCCTGCTGGGCAAGCCGCTGGCGTACAGCGCGCAGGGCGGCAGGAGGAACGCGCGCTACCGCTGGCTCCAGAACTACCTGTACAACGTCTTGGAGAGACCCCGGGAGTGGGCGTTCGTCTACCACGCTTTTGTGTGAGTACATTTTTATTAATCAGAACAACGATGCACTGATTTGCTGATCACTGTTAACTTTAAGCATTGCTCAGCCTCCCAAGTTCAATGTAATTGCCATATTCATGAATAGATTTACCCCCCCCCCCGAAAAAAAAATCTCCGCCAAATAACTTGTAATGGCCATTTCAAAAATATTTATAATTTGTGGGGCACATTTATTAAAAATAAAAATGATAAGTATTAACTCCCTTTATGGTGTTGAAAAGTGAAAAAAATCCAAAATAGATTAAATTAATTTCCCTCCTGGAAATTATAAGAAAAATACCCAATAATCTCCAAGTGAATTTGCTTATTTAGAAATGTTGGATAATATATTAAAAATAAAAACACAGAGTATTATACCCTTTGCTGTGTCACCAAGAGGACAGTCGCATAGTTGAGATGCTTCCCCAGCTTGATTAAAGCCTTATGATGAAATCAATTAAATTAATTTCCCCCCACAAAATTCTCCACAAAATGCTCTCTAACACCAAGTGAAAAGGCTTATTGAAAAAATCTGGATACTCAATTAAAAAATAAAAACACAAAGTATTAATTTTCAGGAAACACAGTCGAAAGGGAGCATGGCCGTATCAATGTTCCCCCCACATTACATAAAAAAATTATCATGGATTCTGAACTCTACGTTTCTAGCGCTGTCTTCACACTTTGTAAGTGATGAAGTGACAATCGTCAAACAAGTGTTAATGGGTCACCCGACCACCTGTTTGTTACCCCCTCCTTGGTTTAACCATTCATTTGTCAGCTGCACTACCGCGTCTTAAATGAATGAAGCACTGGGACTACTGGATAACCATGCAGTTATGTCTTCAAGTGGAGCATGAATAGCACAGGGATTTACAGTCAGAGCAAACTTATGATCTTCCAGCTGTGCCATGATGTAATTTCTTTGCCTTTCACACAGAACCTAGCAAAGACAGGACATTGCCGTGACCGTTTGCGTTTTCATTCAGAAACACAGCATTTTGCCATCAGTTAACATTTCTAGAGAACACACAGTCAAGTTAAGCAGGACAGTAAGAAGTACCGGTAAGTTTTTCTTTTTTCTCCGTTATAAATTGTCAATGTATCAGATCCAAGGTATTGGTTTCCGGACTCGGTATTGGCACTGACAGATGACTCAGAAAGAGTCATGGATGCAAAAAAAAAAAAAAAAATGTTTATCGGGACATCCCTAATTTCCTCAAATAGTGGCCTCCACTCTTGTCTCCACCATGTCCAACTGGATGCATCATGTATTAAAATAAACAAACACCTCATCCCTCTGGAAAAACAACTATGTTTTCATTGGATGCATATTGAATGCACTGAGTTTCCTCTGCTCTTCCAGACTCTGTGCACCAAGTTAACACCGGTTGCAACTGTCTATTTGAACAAATACACGATTAATTCTTGAGGATAACATGTTTTATTACACCTCATGTACAGGACAGTTGATGTAACATACAGTATATCCTCAAATAGTGGTGTCGACTCTTGTAGAGACCGTTTCCCTAATTATTACTGGATCCTTCTAATGTACGTTACTGGAACTGTATTTAGATCAAATAGAGGCCTGTGTTCTTGCCTCAACGAATCGCTGCATGTATTGTACATTTGAAAAAAAAAATACCCCTCTTCCCTCAGGAAAGGATATGTTGTATCCATATCATTTGATATTCTATCCTCAAACTGTGGCCTCTGCTCCCGTAGACACCATCCCTCAGATTATTGTTGAATGTGTCATCCATTTACAGAAATAAATGCCTCATCACCTCGGAAAAACACATGCTTCTCCCATCAACTGAACAATAGTGACCTCCGCTCGAGTAGATGCCATTCCCCAATTAATCAATGGATTCATCATCACTTTAGACAAAATAAACGGCTCAGCCGTGAGAAAAAACAAATGTAACAGAAGAGCAGTAATAGTAAAGCGACTCTATTTGAGGAAATGCGGTAATTAGACACAGATAACCTTTGCTTATGACAACCGGGATTGTCATCTGGCGGCATTTCGCACTGTTTCCCCCAATGAAGTTGCACTTCCACAAACGAACAGCGCGCCAATTGGACCCCATCGCCGCCTCGGTTCACTTATGTAAGACTGGAAGCTCGCAGCACATGTGGAGGGGCTCTTAGAGAAGGTCAACAAGCTGTCAGCTGTGCAGGCTGAATGAAACATTAGCTCGGGCCTCCTCGCGTGACCATCCCGATGAGCTAGAGAGACAGAGAGAGAGTCGCTGTGTGGGAAAAGAGAAGTTCCGCCTCCGCTTTGGTGTGAAAGTGGCTGATTTTCATTGTCTGCCTGTCTGGAAAAACAACATGCACTTTCTATTAAGCGATTAGTCAAGTCACGGCTGAGGAAGTTGTGTCTTTCTGCTTGTAAACATGTCACACACTATTAGCCGATCGCAGCAGTGTTACAGCCTTCAAAATGGATGAAATTCCGTTTTTGACAAAGAATTTTATACAGGACACGCCCAAAGAGCAAAGTAAAAATATCAATTAAGTGAGTTTTGCTCATTTATCAAAAATAAAACAAGATTTATTTCCACCACATGCACGTTATTTACAGTTGTTCCTCAAAAGTGGGCTTCGTCTTCCTTGACCACGTTTATATTCGGTTTAAAAAATAAATCAATAAATAAATAAAATCTTTGCAAAATAACCTGTGATGGCCATTATGAAGAAACATTTGACTATTAAAAAACAAAAACATTAACCCCACTTGCTGCTCTATATGTCATGCAAAAGCAAGCTCTGGTCACCCTTGAGCGGACCTTTAAAACAAAATAGACTTCATTCATTTATTTTTTCTTGATTTGACACAAACTACAGTGACCTGACAAAGCGAAAATCCTTCTCACGGCATTTTGGCGAATTTATTGAAAATGAAAACAATGACGTATTAACTCTCTTTACTGTGGCTGCCGTGTCGACTGGATGTAATGTGTCCACCTCACGGCATTTTGGCGAATTTATTGAAAATGAAAAAAAATGACATATTAACTCTCTTTACTGTGGCTGCCATGTCGACTGGATGTAATGAATACAAGTGACTGTATGGACTGTACTGTATGTGCGGGCAGCAGGATGTGGACATATTTATTTGCTCAGGCGGGACAGCTGAGGTCGATGGGTTAAGTCGTTACATCTGCTCAGCGCCTCCTCCCCCATTCTCGTCCTGCTCCTCTTTACTCCACATGTTGTGTGCATCAGCTGGATGTTGGCTATCGTCATTCCTCTCACTGATATTTGAATGCAAAAGGGAGCCAACATATGTTGACAACATGCATTACATTACGGGCGCTACCAGCGCAATCTTAATGACATCAGAATCGTTTGATTTATTGTCAGCAGAAATAGGATGTCGTGCCTCGTGTGTCTGAGGTTGAGATGCGGCCAATGATTTTTTTCACATATTTGTATAAATGCGAATCATCATTCCTTGCCAGCCATTTTACATTTATTTTTTTAAGTTATTTGATATTTATTGGATATGGATATAAGAACGGTGGCGCGGTAGTTGACTGGTTAGCATGCCCGCCTCCAAGTGCAGAGGTCAAGAGTTCGATTCCGTCGCCGGCCTTCGTGTGTGGAGTTTGGATGTTCTCCCCGTGGCTGGGTTTTCTCCGGGTACTCCGGTTTTCGACCACATTCCAAAAACATGCGTGGCAGGCTGATTGAACACTCTAAATCACAGGTGTCAAACTCAAGGCCCGGGGGTCAGATCCAGCGCACCTCATCATTTTATGTGGCCTGCGAAAACAAATCACGTGTGTTAACTTCCATGATCCTTGCTCAAATCTGGACCGAACTTGTGCGCAGCATGTGTATACAGTATCATTTTCATTGTATTTCTATAAAAACTAAAAATATTTATAATAAGTCAAGTATATGTACAAATGTGAAAAATAGAATTCAGTTTATTACAGTTTATCATATAAATTAAAAACTAAAAACACACATCGCAATGTATAGAAAATAAATGCATTCTCAATCTATCCATTTATATTGAAATACATTTTATAGCTGAATATTTAGGGCATTTTAAATTATATTATTCAAGTAAACATTATTTTTTAAGAGTATTTCTATTTAAAAATAAAATTAATTAATTAATCAACGACCGTATATAAACAAACATACGATATAATTCCGTTTTAAACTGTCGAAAAAATAAGATACGTAATAAGAATTAAAATGGTATGAAACTGCAAAAAACAAAAATCTATTATTTTTCAATGTAGCTGTGAATTTTAATTTTAAATTCAATTGAACTAATCTTGATATTATGGTTTTAGCACAGATTATTTATTTATTTATTTATTTATTTTTTTACACACTGTCAGTCATATTGATAATCATTCATCCATCCATTATCTCGTCCGCTTACCCTGACGAGGGTCGCGGGCGTGCTGGAGCCTATCCCAACTGTCTTCAAGCAGCAGGCGGGGTACACCCTGAACTGGTTGGCAGCCAATCACAGGACACACATGTAGACAAACAACTATTTGCGCTCATAATCACCCCTAGGGACAATTTACAGTGTTCCATTAACCTACCATGCATGTTTTTGTTTTTTCTAAATTGCGCCGATCAGCTGAATCGCTGTTACATGGTTGGAAAGTATCTGCAGGTGTGTGCCGGTTTGCTGAGATCTTTCAGCTGTTTGTGGAAAAAAACATTTCCAGTAACAAGCAAAACTTTCTTTTCCTTTTGTGTCTTTAAAAAAAAAAAAAAAAACTCAAAACGGCCCAGAGTCAGATGCTACACACATGTGTCACCCTCTCACGGAGACGCACACAAACACAAGAAAGTATGTGATTTATGAAAGAAATATTCACTTTGATCGTTCCGCTGTGTTGAAACAGATGCGGCTGTCTGTGTGTGTGTGGCTTATGTATCTGCGTGGAAGTGTGCGTGTGTGTTCTTAATCCATGTAAACACGCGGAGTCTTCATTGCATAGCTGCAT